AACGCCTAGGGAAGACCGCGTCGCCAACGAAAAGGTGAGCCACATCCATCGTGGTTCTAGGAAAACTGCGTAGAAAACCAGGAACTCAGTGCGAAGGCCCGAGTCTTCCATCCATGGGAGAAGCGTGAGGATTCCCGAGGCACCGCCGGCTGACCAAGACGTCACAAGCCAGTACGAGCTGGGGAATCGGGCATCATTAATTCGAAAAGCGGCATTGATTTGAGAACTCACTCCTGTGATGGAAGTCCCGTTGATGGTGACGAGAAAGGTTGTTGCCAGAGTAGTGCAAGCAGTCGTCCATCTACGCCGGGGTGCCCATCTGGTTGGAGAAAGAGCGGAATCGCCTTCGTCTTCTAGACCACTCGGGGAGCGTTCCTACTCCGGGCCGTGTTTGTCGAGATCCATGGTATATGGCACCTTGCGACGGCCGTGAAACAGTGGCAACAGGCATGTCCGACCGACGATTTGAAGTCTGGGCTCAAAATTCGCATCATCGGAAGATACCGATACCGAAACCGCATCATTCGAGCCTTGCTTAACGATGAAAGACTCGGCCACGCGCTACTTATGCCCTCAGCTGATGGCAGAAGGCCGGGCGAACGTCAAGACTACAGAACCGTGCCTTTGACAGCGGCCGCGAACGATACGACGGATGATTACTGATAGAGCGTAGGCATGTGATCAAATCGTGTACGTCGCTATTATTGTAGAGCTGGAATGTAGAAGACCGTATGATCGTGGAGGGTTGCCAGATCAATGTGGGTGTGGTGGTGACGATAAGGAATGCAGAATGCCGGTAGAAGATATCGAGAATAGGTCTTGGGTAATACTCTCTACCGTCCGGGACGTCGTCGAGCTTGCGTTTTGGCGGTCGAGGCAGGACGGAAAGTCATCCGCTTCGGTACGCTGCAAGCATTGAGGTCGATAATGGGAGGCCTACTCTGATACAAAGCAGTCAGTCACTCAGGTACAAAGGCAGTCCACCATACCCTTTGCCCAAGCCTACCGTGGCGGTCTCCGTTGCATATGGTACCGTAGACTTGGTAATGTGGGAAGATGCAGACATTTACTACGTCGCAACAGTTCAAACTGTTTTTGCCGGGCAGGCGTAAATTGCCCGTGTCCGATGCGGAGTCCGCCTCAATTGTGTCCAGAACTCCTCTCATGCCAGTATCAAGTTTTGTAATACCTCCGCGAAATACTTGGATGGTCTCGCGAGCAAAGCCCATGGTCTCGAAGTTCTACAGTACGTCAACCAGTCGGTCACTGGATTCGCCATTCGTGGACACCAAGGCTAATCTTGAGGAGGAACGGGAAGCGAGAGCAGGCCAGAAAGATCAACACTTGTGTGGTGGGAAACGCGCCGTAGTTCGTGGAGTCGCTAGGCGTCGGAATTTTCGTCTCTCATATCGAACTGCTCCACGAAACACGAAAAAAGGAGATCAAACATGAATAAGGTGCAGGGAGATTGGCGCATGAGTTGGAGAAAGGCGTGCGGCCCGCCGCGGACCCGGAGTGTGCGCCTAATTGATCTACAGCACATTCTCCATCCTTTCCCTGTACGAAGTTTTTATGGAAAGCTTGCAAGAGTAGAAGGTATGCTCGTCCATTCCCTCTTCTTCTCAATGCATGACGGAACCCCTCCAAACTCACTATTCCTTGTCCCTATACGCGCATTATTCGCTCTGACTTGTGGCCCCTATTCTAGCGACCGACAGCTTGCATCTCCTTAATCGCGTCGACGGCATCAATCTCTACCGTCCATCCTACAACTATCTGTCTGGCCAGCGTTCTACGTTTCTACGCTGCCTTCAGCAATCGCGAGCGCGTAGTCTGCGAGCTGTTCACGCGGACGTGCACCATTGCCAATTTCTATTTCGGTGGCGGAGGCGTATACCTTCGGAAGACCAATTGGAATGGAGGAAGGATGAGTCTGATGATAAGTGCGAGTAGCGACCTGGTGTAGATGCTGGCGCAGCAGCGCTGCTATATGAAGGTCGCATGCAGCGGCTTTGCTACAACCTTCTTCGCACTGCAAGGGCTAGCAGGTCCACGCGAATGTACGTGTTAGATGACGGTTGGTGTAGTAGCAGCACTTGGTCACAAGATTGCCCGCCGCTAGAGTTTTCCAGGACCACATCAGCGCTCTGTTCGGGCGATGGGAAGCAACGAGTACTTCATTTCCCATTGCGAAGCAACTTAGATGGGGGGAACATCATTGCGCAAGGATAGAGCTGCACTCGAATACTTCGCTTAGTTCATGGAAGCTTCACGCCTGCAAGCAAATCCATGCAAGCGTTACCCAAAGGACGTATATAAGCGGAGCGACAACCTACCCCTCCGCTTGCTCCCTCATTCCTTACTTCTGTGTTGTTGGGGCCCAGAAAACGCGACATTTGATTAACTCCCGTGCTTATACAACACAACCAGCGTCAATTCCCCATCGACCAGAGTTGTCGGAATGTCTCTGCTAAGAATGCCTTCGCCACCCAAGATGATGACAGAAACGGAATTTCTCACTTGCCTGCACCTCAATCTGGGTGTCGAACACGACAGACGACAATACCATGCCATGAAGGTATGTGAATTCCCGTGCTCTTCTCCCCGATCCCATTCTGATGCCATCTATCCAACCCTAGGCCAATATCATGCAAAGTTGCCAGAGCATCTGCCATGACCGCAGCTGTCTCCTTCCTTACCTTCAAAACGACCTGTCCATCCAGGCCCCTTTCATCTGGACCCAAATCACAGAGGTTTCTTTACAAGAAGAGGCCCGCCGCATCTATTGCATGAGCTCACCGGATGTTCAGCGCTTATACGATCTTGGAACTGATACAAGAAGCGGGACTAGAAGAGATGGCAGTAGCGATAGTGGTGGTGATGACGGTGGTGATGATGGTAGTGTTACTGGTGTTAGTGGTGTGGATGCTAAACAGGATCGGATTGAGGAGAGCTGGGTGATGCGGTGGCTGCTTTGGAGGACGTTGTTGTCTAGCGCAGATGAGAATGAAGCGAGCACAATGTTCGCCATGGACATCACGTATGGCAATGACGGCGGAGATGTGAGACTCGCCGATCCCAGGGCAAGGCAGACGTACTGGGACCCTGCAAGACAACTATGATTGCTGGAGAGTACCTACGGTGCGACTGACGCTGGTGCTGCTGGGGGCAATGTGGAGCGAGGTATGTCATGTCATTGATTATACGCGATAGAGCATTATGAGGGCATGGCTGCGAACATTTGAATTGAATTGAATGGTCAAGATGACGTCGAGTGCCATCAAGGCACCAGAAAGCAGAAGCAACAAGCTGCGTAGAGGAACGCGCGATGACGATAACGGCGACTTGATCGCCAAACTTTCCGCCGGTACCATGCGGCCGTTGTGTTGCTGGTTAAAGCACCTCGACGGTTATGACGCGACTAATGAGCGAGCGTCAAGAGGTATTCACGGCTGAGTAAGTGTCCACTCATGCGTCGTTAATTAGCTTATGAACCGTAGCCAGGTGCCCTGTAATTGGTAAACTCAGCCTTCAGTATATGCCACTTATGTCCCCTAGATTCGTTTCTTCAATCATGCAAGAAGGTAGAATGTCACTTCGGAATACAATGACTACGAGCATAAATGCGTTTGCCATATCGGAACGGGAAGAATTCCTATGGATCATTCGCCACCACGACCAACACCTTCTGCAAAACCTGCCGGTTAATTCTACACGTCTCGGAAAGGAAAGGTTGGCGATCGAGAAAGCTGATCGTACCGCCAATCAAGCTGAGGAGCTCGAAGTGCGGAATTTCCATCCTCAAGGGGCCGGCCGTATACGCCGCCGCGAGCACTAGGACGTTGCCGAATAGCCTATGAGGTATGTTTAGCAAATTGACATGCCCGGCACTCTATGAGAAATCCGAGGAAAGACAGGAAAACCGTACTCATGTGCGATTCCGTGCATATTAGTCTCGATGACGGCTGAGGCGATGCCATCGAATGCGCGCGCGCTCTGAAACGCTGCTTGGATGCAGCGCTGCGCACCTGCCATCTTCTCCGCTTCGGGTAACGTGGAAATCGCCTCAAAGAGCCGCCCGTCCGTGTCCGTACGGGTCTGTCCATGAGCGTCAACGGCCGTTTTATGGAGCACGTAGTCTAGGTAGGGCTGATCAGCCAGGAAACACGCGCTCCAATACTTGGCTCGAAGCCGGGCGGTGTGAATGTCAGCTGGAGGGGCTTCGGAATCCAGCCATGCCTGGTCAATGGGAAGACCGCTGCGCCATAACGTGAGCGACGAACGGTGCTCGCATAGCGCTTTCTGGAGGGCAAAGGCGGACAGGGTTTTGCCTGCTCTGCCGTGGAGCTCGTTTTGAAGGAGATTCAAATGTTTCTGAAGCCAGAGTTGAGAGGAGAAGTACATCAACGCAGTATTACAGCTCAATCCCCCCGCTTGGTAGAATTGCGAGCTGCCAGGAATACGGATCGGCCAGGGTAGGAGATCCTCGCAAGCCAAGATGCCACTCTCAGGGTAAGGCAGGTCGGCGAGAATGTCACCTTCGAGTTGAATACAGCTCCAAGCAATGAGCACCACCAGGTCGTGCTCCGCACTCTTTACTCGCGCCTGCAAACCTCGATATGACCCTTGACTTCGTACGTCGGGGAATTCGTTTCGGAGCAGAATGTCGGAACTAACCTCGACGACCTGGAATTGGCGGAGAAGGTGCAACACCGATCTGCAAGCTGAGGTGACCCAATTGAAGCTCTCGCGTACTTGCCCAATCTGAGCTTTGTAAAGACCGGCGAGGAGGGCAATCTGCGCGTGGATGAGATCGTTGCCACCCTGGAACGGCCCTGCTATATATGTCGCTTGATCATAGAACTTGGCGCCAGGAATGTCTGCGAAATCTCCATCTGCGCAAGTTTTGGGTGCAAAGGGATTCGCAGATTGCGGGAACATCATTCGATCCTCCACCGGAGGTGCATCCGATTGGAAAGAGCTGCTACTAGCAGCGCCGTCTACAAGTGGCTGCGTATAACTCCTGGGGAAGGTCAAGTTTTGTTTATACGCGCAAATATCTCCCAACGCGAGGATGAGGTAGAGGCGAGCGCTCTCCAGGGGTGAGATTCTGTGCCGCGATAAAAGAGTGTTGTCTCCTCCATTCACGGAGCTCATATGCTCCATTCGCGGCGTCTGGCCAGATCCATGCGTGAGATCAATCATCTCGTCTGAATGACTAAGACATGGATGCCGAGTTTCACCAAAGAGTTGCTCGAACGAGTGAAAAGCGTCCTGGAGATCGACGGCAGGGTGCAGGGAGTGCATGTTTTCGACATAGCTTCGAAAAAGTCGGCGAAGCGGAACCATATGTTCGGGAGAGGTGGGGATTATTTCAGGATCAGACCTGTAACCCATGACTATGAAGTCGTTCACCAGGGAAGGCTGGCTGCTAAGGGATTCGCCAGGGAGGATGACACGGTGGGCGTAAGGGTGATGGTGTGCAGGCACATCCTTGGCTTCGGACGACAGCACATAGACAGGATCGACAGAGCAGTGGGCGGGGCAAAGGAGGGAATTGACAGAGGGCCACAGCTTGATGAGAGTGCGCACGCCTGCAGCATGGTGTGAATCTCGCAAGAGAAAGTCGGAGTGGTTTGCATGCGATTCATTCTGTTCGGCGGAATCCAGTCGCGCGGCCAACCTGTCAAATCGAGGGAGGTAGTCATCGAGCAGCTGCATGTGCGTGTGCAACTTGGCAGTGTGTTCTTCAAGGTGACGGAAGGTGGCATCGATGTCGGACATGTAGCGAGTGGACTTGCTGGTAGAGTAGCGACATGTAAGGGCATTCTTGTCGCAGTTGATGCATGGCCGCCCTTCGTCACATGCTCTCTTCTTCTCCCGACACAAGTCGCAAGCCTAGTTGATGTGTGAGTGGGTCACTGGGCAGGCAGCGATGGAGGAGGCATCACCTGTGCTGCTCGGAGATGACGTTTGCGATTAGACGGCGTCTGCTCTGCGGCCGGGGAACCATCGTCAATTGAGAAAGGCGTGGATGAGTCGGTGGAAGGGGCCATGTCAGGGAACAGCGAAAGCAGGGTCAGATTTATTATGACAGCGAAGATGGTACGAAGGAACAGAGGGAGATGGAAGTAGACGGGCGATAAATCCCACTTGAGAGACCACTGTACTTGATGGACAGCGGTTGGCCCAGTGAAATGTGGCAA